ATCGTAAAAAAAAGAGAAAGGATTATAAAGAAATATTATGAAAAAAATTAATTAAAACAATGAAAAGAAATATGCAGGCCGGGCGTGGTGGCTCATGCCTGTAATCCAAACACTTTGGAGGCCAAGGTGGGTGGATCACCTGAGGTCAGGAGTTCAAGACCAGCCTGACCAACATGGTGAAACCCCGTCTTAATAAATAAATAAATAAAGATATTTAAAAAAAAAAAAAAAGAAATATGCAGAGAATGAGGGTTAAAAAAAAGAAGAAATACTATAAACAATTGTAGCTTAGATGAAATGAACAAGGCCAGGTGTGGTGGCTCACACCTGTAATCCCAGCACTTTGGGAGGCCAAGGCAGGTGGATCACCCAGGGTTCGAAGTTCAAGACCAGCCTGACCAACATGATGACACCGCATCTCTACTAAAAAAAAAATACAAACAATTAGCCAGGCTTGGCGGTGGGCACCTGTAATCCCAGCTACTCGGGGGGCTGAGGCAGGAGAATTGCTTGAACTCAGGAGGCAGAGGTTGCAAGTGAGCCAAGATACCATCATTGCACTCCAGCCTGAGTGACAGAGCGAGACACCATCAAAAAAAAAAAAAAATCAATTAAGTAGAATTAGAAGGGAACTTCCTCAACCTGATAAAGTTCACCTGTGAAAAGCCCACAATTAGTATAATACTTAATGGTGGAAGACTGGTTGCTTTCCTCCTGAAATCAGTATTAAGACAAGAATGCCCACTCTTAGCACTTCTATTCAATATTGTACTAGAGGTTTTGGCCAGAGCAATTAGGCAAGAAAAAGAAAAGGCATCCAGATAGGAAAATAAGTAATACTATCTCTATTCAAAGATGACATGATCTTGTATAAAGAAAATTCTCAAGAGTCCAGGAAAAAACTACTAGGACTAATAAATGAGTTCAGTAAGATTGCAGGATACAAGATCAATATACAAAAATCAATGTATTTTTATAGACTTGTAATGAACAATCTGGAAGTGAAATTTTAAAAACATTTCCTTAACCAGGCATGATGTGTGCACCTGTAGTCCCAGCTATTCAAGAGGCTGAGGCAGGAGGGTTGCTTGAGCTCAGGAGTTCGAGAGTAGCCTGGGTAACATAGCAAGATTCCATTTTTTGAAAAAACAAAACACTTCCACTTACAATAGCCTCAAAAAGAATAAGATACTTGGGAATGGATTTTACGAAAGAACTACAAAACTTGTGTTCTGGAAACTTCAAAACATTGTTGAAAGAAATTAGAGAAAACCTAACTAAATGGATAGATGTTTATGTTCATTGATTGGAAGACCTGATACTAAGACAGCAATACTCCCCAGATTATAGATTAACACAACCCCTAGAATTGCAGCTGATTCCTTTAAGAAATTGACAAATTAATCCTAAAATTTATAAGGAGACTCAGAGGCCCCAGAACAGCAAAAACAACCTTGAAAATAACAACTTGGCTGGAGGATTCATACTTCCTTATTTCAAAACTTTCTATAAAGCAACAGTAATCAAGACAGTGTGCCACAGACATATATTTCAACAGAATACAACTGAGAGTCCAGAAACAACCCATGTGTCTGTGGTCTCCTGATTTTCAACAAGGGTGCCAAGACCATTCAATGGGGTAAAAATAGTCTTTCAACAAATGATGCTGGGACATCTGGATGGCCACACGCAAAACAATGACGTTAAACTCTTCACATCACATACAAAACCATAATGGACCTGTGTTCTCAATGTAAAAGCTAACATTATAAAACTCCTAATAGAAACATAAGGGTGAATTTGTATCAACTTGGATGTGGTAGTGATTTCTTAAATACGAGACCAACAGTGGGAGCAACAAAAGAAAACATTCAGATAGGGTCTCAGTCTGTCACCCAGGATGAAGTACAGTGGTGCCATCATGGTTCACTGCAGCCTCAACCTCCCAGGCTCAAGTGATCCTCCCCGCTTAGCCTCCCTAGTAGCTGAGACCACAGGCATACACCACCATGCTGGAGAATTCATTTTTTTGTAGAGATGCGGTCCCATTATGTTGTCCAGGTTGGTCTCAAACCCCTGGGCTCAAGTGTTCCTCCTGCCTTGGCCTCCCAAAGTGTTGAGATTACAGGCACGAGCCATGGCACCCAGCTGATAAGGAATATTTTTATGTAGAATGATAAAAACTCTCACAAACTCAATGATAAAGACAATCCAATTTAAAAGTTGGCGAAGGATCTGAATAGACATTTCTTCATATAAGACACACAAGTGACTAATAAGCACATGAGAGGTTGCTCAACATATTCAGTCACTAGGGAAACACAAATCAAACCACTCTGAGACATCACTTTATACCCACTACAATGCCTTTACTTAAAACAACCTGATAGGCTGGATGTGGTGGCTCACAGCTATAATCCCAGAGCTTTGGGAGGCCAAGGCAGGAGGATTGCTGGAGTGCAGGAGTTCAAGGCCAGCATGGGCAACAGTGAGAACCCCTTCTTCATAAAAAAATATAAATACACATACACACATACTTGGCAATAGGAAGTGTTGGCAAAGATGTGGGAAAACTGGAAACCTCATACACTTGTGATATAAATATAAAATGGAGCAGCCACACTGGAAGGCAGAATGGCAGTTTGTTATACAGTTATCATACAACTCAGTCTTACGAGTCACAGAGTCATCATACGATTCAGCAATTCCACTCCTAAGTCTATACATTATATATCCAAGATAAATGAAAACACATTTCCACATAAAAACTTATACACAAATGTTTATAATACCACTATGCATAATTCTCAAAAGGTGGAAACAATCCAAATGTCCACAAACAGATGAACAGGTAAACAAAATGATGCATACAACGGAATATTATTTGGTCATAAAAAGCAGTGGAATAGTGGCACATGCCACAACATGGATGCACCTTGAAAATATTATACTAAGTGAAAGCAGCCAGATAAAACAGCAGTATTCTGTGATTCCATTTCTATGAAATGTTCTGAATAAACAAATCTGTAGAGATGGAAAGCAGATTGGTGGTTGCCTCAGAACAATGGGAATCGGGGGACAGGGCATAATGAAGTGTATGGGGTTTCTTTTTGAGGTGATGAAAAGATTCTAATAATGGCTGTGGTGATGGCTGCACATATGATGTGACTACACTGAAAACCCTTCAAGTGTAAACTGCATGCTGTTAATTATTTCAGTAAAGCTGTGGTTTTTTTTTAAGGGCATCATAAGCATGAGACATCCTTTTTTTTTTTTTTTTTTTGAGACGGAGTCTTGCTGTGTTGCCCAGGCTAGAGTGCAATGGCATGGTCTCGGCTCACTTCTGCCTCCTGGGTTCAAGCAATTCTCCTGCTTCAGCCTCCTGAGTAGCTAGGACTACAGGCATCTGCCACCACGCTTGGCTATATTTTTAAAAATTATTTTTAGTAGAGGCAGGGTTTCACCATGTTGGCCAGGCTGTTCCTGAACTCCTGGCCTCAAGTGATCCACCCTTGGCTTTCCAAAGTGCTGGGATGACAGGCGTGAGCCACTACGCCCGGCCTGAGTCATCCTTCTCTGAGGAAAATGTACTCTATCTCAAGAAAAACCAACAGACTTAGGAATAGAGTCCATAGGTTATACAGCAAGTGTATGTTTAATTCTATGAGGAACTATCACTGTCAAAGTAACTATTCTGCCTACCAGCAATGCAAGAGTTCCAGTTGCTCCACATCCTCACTAATATTCATTATTGTCTTTTTAAAAAACGTAAGCCATTCAAATAGACATGTGTTGTTACTCTGTTATTTCTTTTGCTGTATGGAAGCTTTTTAGTTTGTTTAATTTGTCTACTTTTTTGTTGTATTTGGAGTTCTTAGTCATAAATTTTTTTTTTTTTTGAGACAGTCTTGCTCTGTCAATGCATGCACACAAGCACAATGTGCTGGCTTTGTCTGGCATGTACATCCAGCCACTTGACATCCGAGGGAGGCATGGAGTGGAATGGCTGCTAGGTGGGGAAGCAGCCAGAGATCAGTGGTCAGTTACCCAGGCCTCTGATTCCAAGCCCAGGGCTCCTTCCACACACAGGGTGATGGTGACAAAGATCAGGACCCAGGAGTGGGTGGTGCTCATCCCTCACTGTGCTTCAAGATTCTGTGATTCTATCTCTTCTCCTGTAGATCAACGTCTGGACCACTTTCTAAGAAAATTGCAACTTTCCTGATAATTCTCCAGTATACTCAAGACTGTATATACTGATTTCCTTTCATGAAATTTTTCAGTCAGCTGCAGCCCTTGGTGCACAGTATGATCTGGACCTGGAGCACAGCAAGACCAGAACCAAGAACCATGACACCTCCCTTGGGAGACGATGTGTGCAAAGCGAGCTACGGTGCTGCATGACCATAGAAGTGACCCCTCTATACTGTGAAATGAATTTCTGCATGGGGGGTATATTAGGGTTCTCTATAGGGACAGAATGAGTAGGATATATAGAGTTTATTAAGTATTAACTTATATGATCACAAGATCCCACAATATGCTGTCTGCAAGCTGAGGAGCAAGGAGAGCCAGTCCAAGTCCCAAAACTGAAGAACTTGGGAGTCCGATGTTCAAGGGCAGGAAGCATCCAGCATGGGAGGAAGATACAGGCTGGCAGGCTAGTCATATCTCATCTCTTCATGTTTTTCTGCCTGTTTTATATTTGCTGGCGGCTGATTAGATGGTACCCACCCGATTAAGGGTGGGTCTGCCTTCCCCAGCCCTACTGACTCAAATGTTAATCTCCTTTGGCAACACCCTCACAGACACCCAGGATCAATATTGCATCCTTCAATCCAATCAAGTCAACTCTCAGTATTAACCATGACAGGGGGGAATCAGATGACACAAAAGATGCCTTCTGGCTCTCATGTTTTGTCACTGCCTACTTCAGAAGAGAGATGCACAGTGTGGGGAGGATGAAAGTTAGAAGGAAAAGGCAATAGAAATCAGGAGGGTTTGGTATCCAATGCGTGTTCATTTATTTTACACTTACAAAAGAAATTGCCCACCCCTTTGTCCCATTCCCCCAAAACAGTCTCTTTTTACAAACATTTAAAAATTAAAACCAAATGAAGATAGACAAGTTAATTTCAGTACAATTATTTTTCAGTGTAGCTGTCATAATTAGAGTTTAAATTTCCTACAAGTGACCAATGTCCAAGTGACTTATAGGGAAATCCTGATTATCGGCCAAAGGAAATTCCATATTACAAGTTAGCAAATTCTAGTACAAAAATAGTCCGTGTGTTGGAACAGCTTTCCTTTTATATAGGTCTCAGGTCAGTCTGCTGACTGCGTAATACCTAACGCTTTCAGATTCTCTCTCACAAATGGCTCAATCATCACTGCTGAAGCAGCACAGCGCCTGCAGCAGCAGGGGCTAGTGTCCACCTTGGGGCCGTGCTGGAGACAGCAGGCCTGGGAATGCCTTGCTGGCCCCAGGGCACCTGGGCAGAGCTCCAGCCCCAGCTCCGCATAGGGGGCCTGGAGGGAGGAATGAGCTTTCCCCTCCAGAGGCAACGTCAGGCCCAGGACACAGGGCACATCTGCCCAGAGAGCTGGGCTGGCGCTGGTGCAGGACAGCACATCTCCTGCCAGTGTCTTCTTCCCCTGCAGCCTGGCCAGGTGAGAGGAGGCCCTGCGTGTCATCAGCGGCAAGAGTGTGGCCCTGCCCTTGCTGCAGCCAGGGTAGGCCGGAGCAGTTTACTTGTCCCTCAGGATGTCGAGCTGTTCCTGACACTCGGTGAAGAGGCGCTGGAATCGGATGTTCTGCCCAATGACTGGCAGCAGCTCCTTCAGCAGCTCCCTCTTCCGCAGACCCTGTGGACACAGAGTGACAGCTGAGTGCAACTGTCAGTGAGGACACCTAGATTGTGGGGACATTCCTGGCCTGGCAGAGAACCTTGTGTCTGCCCACGGAAGAGAGAAAGAACCAATTTCTCTGCAGGTGAGAAACTGTGAGAGAGCTGTGGGGCAAATGCCAGGATGAAGTGGCAGGTAGAGTGGAAGCAACCCAGTATGGGGATAAAGGAGGATGAGGCCAGTGCAGGGTCTGCTCCTCCATCTGTAGGCACAGTGACTGCTGATCTTACAGTGACTGGGAAGTGGCCTGAGCATCCAGGGCAGGATGAGAGTAGAACATCAAGACTGAGGGTCAAGTGGCTGGTCATTCAGGAGGGGCTGTTCCCTCATGCTGATGTTTGCCAGGGATTTGGGGTAAAGCCCCAGGGTAAGGATGCGCCTGAGGCCCTGTGGCCAGCTTTAGTTTTCCAGCAAGACAAATGAGGTGCCAGTATCCCCGATGTGGTGGATGTTTGGACATTGCCCAAATTACGTTTAGTTGCCCAAACAGCCTCCACATCAGGGCACAATGGCACCACAGTCTGAAACAAGCATTGCCTAGTGGGGGTCTCTGCTGCACAGACCAAAAGAGCAGACTCCTGAGCAATACGGCTGTTCCAAAGGGAAAACTCTCAGCCAGACAACTTTAACACTGGAAGAGAAGGCCTAAGATCTTGAATTAACAGTGACAGATACACTTGCAATAAGACTAGAAGTGACAACAAAGAACAAGTGCAAATATAGGTTTGAGTAACACAGAAGTTGCTAGAGATGGGATAAACAGAATGGGTGCTGTGACGACCAAGTCTGATGGAGGAACAGCCCACGCTGAACAGGGAGGCTCTGACACCAGAGTGTCGCAGTCACAACAGAGATTGTATGGATTTGCAAAGCCTGAAATGTTTACTATCTGGTCTTTTACAGAAAAAGTTTGCCAACTCCTAAAGCAGATCATGTTTTCTGACTAAAATAATTGAGTAAAACTCATGGGTCAAAGGGGAAATTAATTCTAATTAAGTGAAATTAAAAATGACTTACAAGGGAATGGTAATAAAAACACAAAATACTCCAAAACTGATGAGACTGATGAAAAATGGGCACTTTAGAGGCATTTGGAAACAACAGCTTATACTATATTAAAGAACATGAAAGAATGAGAAGCCAAGACTCCAACCTAAAGGCATCAGGGGAAAGGAAAAAAAAAAAAAAGACTAAAAGAAAAAAAGGGTATCATCAGAAAAAAAATTTTTTTTTAAGGAGATGATAATAAAAATTGAAAAAGATTTATTGTAGAAGATTTATAAAAACAATCTTTTTTTTTTTTTTTTTTTTTTTGAGACAGGGTCTAGCTCTGGTATCCAGGCTGGAGTGTAGTAGGGCAATCATAGCTCACTGCAGCCTCAACCACCCAGGCTCAAGTGATCCTCCTTCCTCAGCTACCCGAATAGTTGGGACTATAGGTGTGTGACACCATGCCTGGTTAGTTTTTATATTTTTAGTAGAGACAGGCTTTCACCATGTTGGTCAGGCTGGTCTCAAACTCCTGAGCTCAAGCGATCCTCCTGCCTTGTTCTCCCAAAGTGCTGTAATTAAAGGTGTGACCCACCGTGCCTGGCAGAAGTCATTTCTTGAAAAGACTAAAGGACAAATCTCTAGCAAGATTAATCAAGAAAGAGAGAGAAAGCTTAAAGAAATAATATTATAAATAAAAAAGAGGTGGGTGGTGGGGTTGAAAAGAAAATAAAAATAAATAATAAAATAAAAAAGAGACGTGACTACAGATATAGAAGAAAAAGATATGATTACTATCAACTTTATGCTAAGAACTTTGAAAATTTAGAGAAAATGGAGAAATTCCTAGAAAAACATAATTTATCAAAACTATCTCAAAAAGAAAAAGAGTTAATTACCACAAAGAAAACATGAGGTATACTATTTTAAAACTAACATCTAAGAAACTTCCAAGGATAAGATTTTCTCTTTGTCTTTCCTCTCCTACAATTTGACTGTGGGAGTCAGTGCAGGTTCTTTTGGGATTTTTCTACTTAGAGTTCATTGAGGCTTTGTATTTGTAGATCCATGTCTTTCCTCAAATTTGGAAAATTTCAGCCAGTATTTCTTCGAATAAGCTTTCTACTCCTTTATTTCTCTTACACTTCCAGAACTTCCATTATGGATACATGGGTATACTTGGATGGTGTCTGATAAGTCCCTTAGGCTCTGTTTGCTTTTCTTCATTCTATTTTCTTTTTCTTCCTCATATTCGATAATTTCATATGATCTGTTTTCAAGTCTGCTGATTCTTCCTTTTGTCTGCTTGAGTCTGCTGTTGAACCCTTCTAGCGAACTTTTCAATTCAGTTGTTGTATTTTTAATCTCCAGATTTCTGTTTAGCTCTATTTTTGGAATTTCCATCTCCTTGTTGATACTCTCATTTTGCATTTTGTTCATATATATTTTTCCTGATTTTGTTTAGTTGTCTGTATGCTCCTTGAGCATTTTTAAAGACACTTATTTTAAAGTCTTATGTCAGCCAGTGGCACAGTGGCTCATGCATATAATCCTAGCACTTTGGGAGGCTGAGGCAGGCAGACTGCTTGAGGCCAGGAGTTTGAGAAGAGCCTGGCTAACATGTTGGAATCTTATCTCTACTAAAAATACAAAAATTAGGCCAGGCGCAGTGGCTCAGCACTTTGGGAGGCTGAGGTGGGTGGATCTCTTGAGGTCAGGAGTTTGAGACCAGTCTGGCCAACATGGTGAAACCCCATCTATACTAAAAATCCCAAATCAGCCGGGTGTCATGGCGCATGTCTATAATCCCAGCTACTCTACTGAGGCTGAGGCAAGAGAATCATTTGAACCCGCGAGGTGGAGGTTGCGGTGAGTCCAGGCAACAAGAGCAAAACTGTCTCAAAAAAAAAAAAAAAAATTAGCCAGGTGATCCACCTGCCTTGGCCTCCCAAAGTGCTAGAATTACAGGAGCCACTGTGTCCTGCTGTCCTTTTACTTTTAAGCTATTATGTTATTATATGTAATCTGGGTTTCTCAAAGCAGCATACAGCTGGTTGTTTTTAAATCTAATCTGATAATCTATGCCTTTTAATTTAGACTTATAGTTAATGATTAATAACATATTATGGCTTAAATCTACCATCCTGACTACGTATCTGTTTTTTTGGCTTTTGAATGAATTTATTATTTCTATCATTCCATTTTGTTCATTTGTTTTTTTAACTACGATTCTTTTTACTGTTTTGGGATTTGTATGTGTATGAGTTTTGTTTTTTGGTCTTGGTGGTTGCTCTAGGGCATATAACATATAGTATATGTCTTTACTTATCATAGTTTGTTTTCAAGTATTATGTTATCACTTTGTATAATATGTAAATGTTTATTTTATTTATTTATTTATTTATTTATTTACGGAGACGGAGTCTCGCTCTGTTGTTCAGACTGGAGTGCAGTGGCACGATCTCAGCTCACTGCAATCTCCACCTCCCAAGCTCAAGCAATTCTCCTTCCTCAGCCTCCCAAGTGGCTGGGACCACAGGTGCAGGCCACCATGTCCTGCTAATTTTTTTTTCTTTTGTATTTCAGTAAAGACAGGGTTTCACTGTGTTGCCCAGGCTGGTCTCAAACTCCTAAGCTCAGGCAATCCACCCGCCTCAGCCTCCCAAAGGGTGGGATTACAGGGGGGAGCCACTGTACTCAGCCAAAAATCTTTTAATGATATACTTTCATATCCCCACACCTGGTCTCTGTGATACTGCTGTTGTGCCACTTCACTTCTACATATGTTATAATTACACACTACATTTTCATTATTTGGCTTAAAAAGGTAGAACTTTTTGACTTTTTTTTTTTTTTTTTTGTGAGACAAGGTCTCACTCTGTTGCCCAGGATAGAGTGCAGTGGCATGATCTCGGCTCAATGCAACCTCCACTTCTCAGGTTCAAGTGATTCTTGTGTCTTAGCCTCCTGAGTAGCTGGGATTACAGGCATGTACCACCACACCCGGCTGATTTTTGTATTTCTAGTAGAGATGGGATTTTGCCATGTTGGCAAGGCTGGTCTTAAACTCTTGGCCTCAAGTGATCTGTCCACGTCAGCCTCCCAAAGTGCTGGGATTACAGGTGGGAACTACCATGCCCGGTCAGAACTTTTTAAATTCTTAACCCTTTGGAGGTGTATTTTTGTGAACTGAAGATCTACTTTTACTTAGTTACATATAGATAACCAGTTTTTCAAACTCCATTTATTGAACAGCCCCCATTTTCCCCAATGTATCAGTTTTGTCTTCTCTCCCATATAGCAAAGTGTGGGTCTAAATTACTCATGCTTCATGATAAACCCAAATATCTGGTAGCATAGTGAATGTCTTAACTATTCTTGGCTTTTTACTCCTCCACATAAATTGTATAATTAGCTTGTCAAGTTTCATTGAAAGCAGGCATCTAATTAGAGATGCACTGAGTCAGTAGGTCTATTTAGAAATGATTGGTGTCTTTACTGTACTGCACTTTCTCATCATTTATCCAAGTTTTAATGACTTTAAGTATATGTTTATAATTCTTAGCATATAGGCTATGCACATCCTTTGTTAGATTTATTATTACTTTATAATTCTTAAAAGAGACAATCTTGAAAGCAGCAACAGAAAAGTGACTCATGAGAGAGATTTGAAGTTTGTGAAGAACTACACCCACAATTGCTGGCTTGAAGACGGAGGAGTCACGTGGAAAGCTAAGAAGGAAATGAATTCTACTATTCCAATAATGACTGAGCTTGGAAGAGGACCCTGAACCCTAGATGAAATCAGCCAGCCAACAGTTTGAGCAGAGAACTCAGGAACCACTGCAAAAGCATACCAGGAAAACTGAAATAAATCACAGATCCTTTGAAAGAAGTGACAGTCTGCTGCAAATTCCACAAGACAGGCGAAAAACTGGTGTTCTCTCAAAAGTGCCACCTCATGGCTG